TATGTATGCCAATGAACGCATGAAAAGTGTCTCGTTCATTTTCGCATATTATTAATGTATATCGTCCTTTTTTTCTATTAGCAACAAATCCATACCCCATCTTTATTTGTACACAGCTTAAGCACTTTCTGATTTGTCAATTCAGAATGTACGAAAAAAGCGAAGTTTAATAAATGTAAAGTTTTAGCTCTTTTGCATGGCCGCGCATGCCGAAAATGCGCGCTCATCTTATTCGTCCAATACGAGTAACAAATTTCACTGTATTCGAAATTCCGAATAATTTCTTCGGCGATTTACGTTGCTACCTATATATTTTTTACTTTCTGCAAGGACACAGGATTATTTATCGGAATACGAGGCCATAAATGTGCCTCGGGAATAGTGACGGCGTCATGCCCATTCATGTTAAAAAAGCTATGCCTGATATAAAAATGAAAGACATTTAATTTCAATTTTAGTATTTTTATCCTTACCTTAATATTGTATTTTAAATTATATCAAGGCTAATTTCCAATTCAATCACACTCATCAGAAACATGGCCCTGTCACGTGTCCCAGATTCACTTAATTTATGCTGGGATTTACTGGGATTAATTAATACTTGAAATATGTGGAGATGCCGTGCGGCGGTAATGTTAAAACTACATGATTTTAAGTTGTGATTGTGATTATGTTCGGTGAGCTCAACGTCCAATTTGACTCTCTTACGATATGCTTCTTTATATAACTCATTTCTGATGTGCTTTTTATTATGACCCACTTCCGATGTGCTATTTTATATTAATCACTTTTGGTGTCGTTTTGACGGATATGACTCACTCTTGAGCGAGCCAAAGCTTTGTCTTGAAGCCCTCAAGTAACACAAAGTGAAATATTGAAATTAATTTATAACATTATCTTTATTTTTGGTTATATTCAAAATTTTCATGGAGGATGATAGGCCAGTCAGGTGATGCTGATAATCCGGCCATGATTTTCAGTGAGGTTCCCACTATTGGAACCTCATTTTAATGAGGAATTTTTTGTGCTTAATATGTACTAATTAAAATTCAAAATCAGCCATTAAGTGCACGATGGTGTGCCTGCATTTTCCTATCCTAATTTAAAAAGTTTTACAACTGTAGGGTTTGAATATCGATTCTCGGCTACATTTTTTTTCGCAAACTTCATTTTTAAAATACATAATTTAAAACTCGAAATCAAATTATCCCACATGCACTATTCATACAACTAAACAATTTAACCCAAATTTCTGCGATCTCATTCAATTAATTTTTTAAATGACCAGCGTTCGTTTTTAAAACCAGCACTTAAAGAAGCAGTTTCCAAATTACTTGTAAATGGTTTTATCTTATGTGCTCACTTTCCTTCGATTTAAAGTACGCGATCATGAAGCAAAATCCAAATCCAAGTTGCCTGAACACGTATTTCTCTTGTATTTGTTCTTTCCTTTATTTTTAAAGCACACATTCAAAAGCAGTGATCAAGTTACATGTACACGGATTCCTCCCGTGTACTTACTTCCCTTCATTTTAAAGAAGGCATTTAAAAAGCAATAATCAAGTTACCTGTACATGGATAACTCCCGTGTTCTTACTTCCCTTCATTTTTAAACTAGGCATCTAAAAAGCACCAATCAAGTTACCTGTACACGGATTCCTTCAGTGTTCTTACTTCCCTTCATTTTAAAGAAGGCATTTAAAAAGCAATAATCAAGTTATCTGCACACGAACTCTTACCTTGTTCTTACTTCCCTTCATTTTTAAAGTAGGCATCTAAAAAGCACCAATCATGTTACCTGTACACGGATTCCTTCAGTGTTCTTACTTCCCTTCATTTTTAAAGTAGGCATTTAAAAAGCAATAATCAAGTTACCTGTACACGTATTTCTTTTGTGTGTGGCTCGTGTCATCGATCCTGTATGCGGGCTCAGTTGTGGTTGAGTGCATTGTGTCCATTGAGCAGCTTTGTGTGCTCTGCGGTAATCCCTTTGTTCCCTGAACAAGCGTGGCTCTATAGTGTGAAGTGCTCCCATACAATGCAAGGTATGGCCGTTAAAATAAGCCCTATTTCAGAGTAAATTAGGCTCCAATTGTGCGCATAAATTGGGCTAGTCGGTTTACCCAATTGCACACAATTAATTAGTCTTAAAAATATTTGGTTAGTGGGAAATTTCGATCAATGTGAAAGGGTCAGTATTTCTTAGTACTCTAGAGAAGTGTCTTAATTGACCTTGATTTTAAATGAATTCTTGTCACTTAATTGAATTCAGAGTCGATATTTGTCGATTGTGGAACATGTAATGTTTAGCAGCCTATGGGTAAATGGTGCTAATTTAATTGTAACCATATACTGGCCTATTTAATACATAATATATTGGCCTCCTCATATCATGTAATTGTTCGCCAAAAGATCGTCAGCAGGGTCACGATGATGATTAAATGATGATAAACTAACTATTCAGTTGCACTAAGGTTCGATAGCTGACTTATCTACAGGAGAACAGCCAAGTATTATTTCATAAAATGTAATGCCTGGCTTGTGACAAATTGCTAAATTTATTATGAGATTGTGCGCAGGAATTTTGATGCTGCTGAAGCGTCATATCGAAAATAATTTATTAGTTCAGTCTTTTTAACAAATATTTCCTGACGGGCGATAATATTTTTATCTTTTTTTCGAGTAAATTTTCGCAAGAAATTAATACTCGTATCCTTGTTTAAGCGGAATCGCGGGGAAGTGAATATCGTAAGCGGTTATCAGCTGCCTACCGTGACTTGCACAGTATTAATAAACAACCTTGCGTATCGCTCTGCCTCAATCCTGTTAAAAAATTTTAAACTGGTTTATCAGCGGCCGCTATATGACCGTATATCTTTTCGGTGGCCTACAAAAACCGCCTATAATCCTCCCATGATCGCCTATATTTCTACCATGATCGCCTATAATTCTCCCATGATATCAACCGCGATTGGAAGGAAGCAGTGAGCCGGTTTCCGGTTGAGCTCAGCGCTGTAGTATTAAGCGTGAGTTTGAAAAATGTGACATGAGACCTTTATGACGGTAAGCCATTATGCGGTGTGGTCCATGTGGGGTGTGGGAACCACGCAATTGATATTCATGCATACAAATAATAATAGTGAACTGATGTTGGCTAAATGCAATGATGGTAACAATAGCTCTAAAATAAAAGTAATATCAAGAATATTTTACTTCAAATTTAACGTTTCAACTATTTTCCACTCGGAAATATTGAAGTTTGCGTTGAGAATTTTTTGTATAATACATTTTTCTATATTAACACTAATTTTAAAGGAATTCGAGTTGGTTTTGGACCTCTTCTCTGGTAATGAATGTAGTGGTCTTTTAGTACATTACAAACAAGCATTTAACAACCACGAGCTTAAATGCACTTAATGCATTACAATTCAACCAAAGAGTACCTGTGGATGTAATGTTTTATTTTCCTGTTGTTTTAAACCTTACCAGAGAACAATACAATAATTTATTAAGTGCATGTGATGTCTGGATATAAATTTAAACACAATAACTAGTCTTAATTTTGATTTTAAGTTGTCTTATTTTGTGAGTTGAAAGTTTAAAAATTTAATCATACCGCTGAATCATTTGTACCTTAACACTATTAAAATCTGTACCTCGCGTGCAAACATCATCATTAATCATCTGTATGCTATATTGAACCGCCTAATTCAGATAAATATTTGTCACACATCATGCTCCAGCATCATAACTATATTCATTAAGCATTATAAATATCGGATAATATGTTGAACTCTACGTGTCTGGTAAATGTTGAACATACATCAAGCCAAAGTCCTGATCCTGTTCATTAGGCTTAAGTTACTATCATCACATTATAGCTTTCCTACATTTACCAACCAAATACCTTCACTTAAACCATATACCATTTTGTGATGGTGTTTTTTCAAATGAATTTTCTCATATGTTATTATCTAGTAAAATTTTAAACGCTTTTGCTTGTCCCTAACGTTCAGCCAATACTTTGCTCCATAAAACAAGTCGTTATGACTCTATTTATGCTGTTTTATGAATATATTTTAAGTTAACTTGTTAAAAATTACAACGTTCCACACCGGACTCAGCAAACATATCCTGTTATTAACCAGCTAGCTCTGCTTAACCATCGAGCCCGCAACCGCCGCTCGATATCAAGTCTAGCCGACCGGTTTGTGCGTGCACATTAATTACCCAAACTTATTCGCTCCAAAACTTCAGTTCTCGCCAATTGCTGCCCGTCAATTACGCGTCGATCTTTGCCGTGGTATATTATTGGTGGTCTTTCCTGTGTCACATGGAGCCTCAATAACCGCCTCCAGTTCCTGCGACTTGATAAGCGACGCATCTGCTTTCCAATTGCCCGGCCTCGATTTTATTGCCTTCCGTTTAATCGTTACGATGTGCAGCGATCGTAGTGATGTGCAGCGATGGTAATGATGTGCAATGATGGTAATGATGTGCGGCGATTGCAATGATGTGCAGTGATGGTAATGATGTGTAGTGATGATAATGATGTGCAGTGATGGTTATGATGTAATGATGTGCAATGATGGTAATGATGTGCGGCGATTGCAATGATGTGCAGTGATGGTAATGATGTGTAGTGATGATAATGATGTGCAGTGATGGTTATGATGTAATGATGTGCAATGATGCTAAGGATGTGCGGCAATTGTAATGATGATGGTAATGATTTGCGGCGATCCTGCAGCATGATGTACAACGATTGTTGTAATGCATAACAATCGTAATAATATGCACTAGATGTGAAACAATCGGCTAATATACCCAACACCAGTGATGTACATAGATCATTTACAGTTTAATGAACTGTTTTGCTTTACTGCAAACAATTTCGTATAGAAATGTCTTCGATTTTATTAGTGGTGTCATGCACACTGCATTTCCCTTATGAAATATCTATAATTTTTATATGATTTTTATTGCAGTTTGAAGCCGACGCCCAAGGAAGGCCAAACGAAGAGCAACCCATCAAAGCGGCACCGGGAGCGTCTCAATGGCGAGCTGGACACTATAGCCTCGCTGCTGCCTTTTGAACAGAACATCCTGAGTAAACTCGACCGTCTCTCCATACTGCGGCTGTCGGTATCATACCTCAGGACCAAGAGCTGCTTTGCAGGTCAGTTTATATCATATGGTTATGATGGAATTTGGTTTTAGGGAAGAATAGAATTATGGAATATAATTTGTATTAGAGAACTTACCCTAACAAAATTTAGAGTCGCCCTAGCTTCTGGTAATCCAAATCAGAAGCTGCCGCGTCTGTATATAGTCTCACCGGGTAGTAGATGGTGAATCCTTCTTGCGGCTCTCTGGTCCTATCTCAAGACCAAGAGCTGCTTTGCAGGTCAGTTTATATCATATGGTTGTGATGGAATATAATTTTAAGCAAGAACAGAATTATGGAATAGAATTTGTATTAGAGAACTTAGTAGATGGTGAATCCTTGCTGCGGCTCTCGGTGTTCCATCTCAGGACCAAAAAAAAGAGTTGCTTTGCAGGTCAGTGTTTGTGCATTTCCTATAAGGTGAAAAGAAGGGAATATAATTTCCGAAATAAAATAGAGTTGAGAGAAGGCAATTGAGTTTGTATAAGAGAACATGAGAGACGGTGAATATAACACCGCCGCCTCAGCTGCAGTTCTCGGTTGCATGTCTGAAGACAAAGGATCTCCGATTATGAGAAATGTAGTTCGTCCTCGCTGTGAATCACTGTTATTGCTGCAAAATTGTAACCTAATTTGCTATAGAAGATGTATTATGCTGCGCGGTATCATGCTTTACGCATAATTTAATTAAATCAATAGATGGTTACAGTTGAAAATGTTACAATTGTCATTTATTCCTTTGTAAGACGAATACAAAGGAGATAATTTCATATGTCAGTGAATCCATAATTATTCTACCATATCTATAACACATTTTTATTCCCTGAATTTATATTTCTAAACCAAAGGTGGGAAATTGGCGCTGACGATTATCACGATAAAAAATGGCCCTTATTATAGAGGCAAATAAAAATGTATTGAATGTAAAATGTATTTCTGCATGCATAAATCTTAGCTTAATTTAACTGTCAGCACGTTATTTTCCCGACTTTTATTCCAATATTATTTTTCTTTATTAAACTTCTTTTGAACAAGCATTTGCAATAACTATTCCTAATATTATTGCGACAACTATTTCGTATATTATTGCGTAAACATTTCCAAATATTATTGCGACAACTATTTCAAATATATTTGCGAAAAATATTCCAAATATTATTGCGAAAACGATTTCAGTTATGATTGCGACAACTATTCCAAATATTATTGCGAAAACTATTCTAAATATTATTGCAATAACTATTCCAAATATTATTGCGAAAACTATTTCAAATATTATTACGAAAACTATTCTATATATTATTGCAATAACCATTCCGAAGATTATTGCTCACGACAACAAAATGCCTGTGCCCACATTTTTCATCATCGAATCCTGACATATTGACAGGCCGCAATCTGCCCTGTAAAAAAACAATACGAGCGTGCCGTTTTTTTTCACCCTATAAGTTAGTTTTCACTGGGCGAGGCTCAGTCATTTTTGAGATTTTAGTCATTGGTGCCTGAAATTCAAATCTGCGAACAAACTTGAAACAATTTTTTTTAAACAAAGTAATTAATGAACAAAATTGAGTTTAATAAAGCGAGTTATGTGCAAATAGAGAGCTTGAAATAAATATTTACTTCAACAAAACTTTATCATTTAATGGTGTTTCCCACGAATATATAAATTTTTCGGAACGCTTACAATTAGAGATAAACAACAAGTTATATCCTATTTCATTAGAACAACGAACGCATGTTTGCAAGTGTGTTTATCGTTAACCTTGACGCGTGGAAATTGTTTGAGTTGAAAATCGAGAAGAACTTTTATTTTCTTGAAATTCTCTAATTCCTTTTTCTCATTGTTTTACCACCATTGATTGTTGTGCCGATAATCATATTTATTTTATTTTCAATGGTTTTTGATAACGATTTATATACTGCTGAGTAAATATAATGTTATAAAACATGATTCGCGCTTTCGCATTTATTTGAGTGGCTCATTACAAATAAGCTTCTCCTGAATTTCTGTGAATATAAGTTTCTCGAATCCCTCATGTTATTTTTTATAATCTGTATTATGGTCAGTTTGACGAATTTAAATATTATATTCTTTTGTATTATTTAAACAGCTTTTTGAAGCCTTCTCTATCATTTCACAATTTCCATCATCACTTGATCTATCAGATTATTTATCATCTGATCACATGTATTTCTCTCCATCGTCGACTTTAGCATTAATTTTATTAAAATGTGCCAAAATTATTACATATTATTATATATATTGGCCGCCTCTGATTCAACAATAGCAAATGGCTATTGTAATCATATCTAAACCGATAGAAAAAACAAAGATCATTTGGCGATAAAAGAAACTTTTGTGGAAAATCAAGATCATTTCCGAAGGTTCGACTTGTAATATCGTTCAAGTTATGAATGTAATCGGCTTCTTGTAACTTTTGCCGCATCGGCGTTACTTGAAGGAGCTGAATCACTCCGGCTGTTCCCAGCAAATTAATTGCAACTACTCATTACTCTACTCATTAAATTCATAACAATTACCTATTACTCTCCTCATTAAATTCATAATAAGCACTCATTACTTTACTCATGCTATATATTACTGTACATAGAGCAACAAGCGTTTACCGCAGCAGCCCTAAACGCGCTGGTGTGGTGCCGCGTGTCGTCATCCATCTCACTGTTGTGGGGGGCGAGTTTTTTGCTGAACTGCGCTGCTGTTGAGGCTCAATAGCGTAGTCTAGTGGAGCTCTAGGTGGACACTAGGTCTAGGAGAACACTGGTGGACACTAGGTCTAGGGGAACACTGGAGGACACTAGGTCTAGGGGAACACTGGTGTACACTAGGTCTAGGGGAACACTGGTGGACACTATAGGTTTAGGGGAACACTGGTGGACACTAGGTCTAGGGGAACACTGGTGGACACTAGGTCTAGGGGAACACTGCTGGACACTAGGTCTAGGGGAACACTGGTGGACACTAGGTCTAGGGGAACACTGGAGGACACTAGGTTTAGGGGAACACTGGTGGACACTAGGTCTAGGGGAACACTGGTGGACACTAGGTGTAGGGGAACACTGGTGGAGACTAGGTCTAGGATAACACTGGTGGACACTAGGTCTAGCGAACACTGGTGGACACTAGGTCTAGCGAACACTGGTGGACACTAGGTCTAGGGGAACACTTGAAGACACTAGGTGTAGGCAGACCCCCTGTTACACACTAAGTCTAGGTGGACTCTAGGTCTAGGTGGACTCTAGGTCAAGGTGGACTCTAGGTCTAGGTGGACTCTAGGTCTAAATGAATACTAGGTTGAAGTGGACACTAGGTTCAAGTGGACACTAGGTGCAAGTGGACAATATAGGTTCAAGTACACACTAGATCAAAGTGGACACTAAGTGTAGGTGGACACTGAAAGACTACTCATTGCCCACTTATCAAGTAATAGTTTGGATATCGTTGAGCTCTCTATTAAGATATTATGCCATGTATTGCAGTTACGAGCGGATGTCGAGATATGAAGTTCGCATTATTCATCTCTGACTATGTGACCACATATGATATCAACTTTTTTGTGGCTACGATAATGGGGTGAAATTGGGACACTATGCAGGGGTCTTAGAAAGGAATTAGTTTCTTATAGTGAATTTCCTCTTGTACCTTCGCTTGTAATCTCCAATTTCAGTAGTAGTACTCAAAAACAATTTCCTATAAATATAATACTCGAATATCTTGTAATTCAAATTACTAGTCGATTTGTTAGAAGTAATTTTAATCGCCAATATTTGTACCTACTTTTCAATTAAAGTGCTCTGATCTTCCAGGCGTAAATTACAGAACGAACATTATTCTCTCATGCCTGGGAACCTTGGCATTATCCTTCTCCTTTTTTTGTATTTTCAATAAATACATGGTTATTCTAAATGATGGAGCCAATGCAATTAATTCTTATTTATTTAAGTATAAATCTAAAATTAATAATTTCTGCACCAATGGAAAGAGAAAGATTCAAAGTTTTTTGGACATATTTATAAATGCTCAATATAAATGTTTGCCCTTGTGCTTCACGGCAAACATCTAAAAGGTAGCCAAACTCGTCCCATACACGAGAAAGCATATCTTCCGTTACTGAGTGCACCGTAGCAGTGATACGGCTCTTCAGATCTTCAGTTGCTGGTAGATGCGGGACGTAAACAGAGTTGCTGGTAGATGCGGGACGTGAACAGAGTTGCTGGTAGAGGTGGGACGTAAACAGAGTTGCTGGTAGATTGCTGGTAGAGGCGGGACGTAAACAGCTTCCTTGACGTAACCCCATAAGAAATAGTCACATGGGGTGAGATCAGGTGATCTCGGTGGCCAGAAGTTTAGAGCCAGGTCTTCGTTTTCTATGTTTCCTACCCAATGCTCAGGAAGTGACTAATTTAATAAGTTTCGGAAATCAAGAGGCCAATGGGGACATATTGAACTTTATAAATATGTTTAAAAAACTTTTTTCTTCTTCCCATTCGTATATAAATTATTATTTTCCATATTATACTTGAATAAATACGAATTTATCAAACTTGGTCAATCATTTAGAATAACCCTGTATTTTTACCTACCTAGAAGGTCTAACTTTAAATAATAGTCTTTCATCATTATGACATTCTACATGTGTATTGCATTTTTAATCCCGAAGAAAAAGTTCAAAACTTGCAAGTTGTCCGGACAAAAGGGTCCGAATTTCATAGGGAGGTCTCGCTGCACCTGCCACCGCTCCGTCATTATTAGGTTCGCGCTGCAGACACAATTAGAGATCAAGAACGCGTCATCGGCGGCCGACCGTCTGCCTGCTGATGGACCACAGAAACCAGGCTCATAATTGGTTAAAAAATTTGCACTCTTCATATTTCTGCCTGCTCAGCCTAGCGTGTCTGCTGTCCGATCCAGTGCAGCGTGCCTGCTGCCCGCCCCAGTGCAGCGTGCCTGCTGCCCGCCCCAGTGCAGCGTGCCTGCTGCCCGCCCCAGT